AACGTATATAAAAATAGAGAAAATAATATAATGAACTCCCATGCCTCATCATCCAGCTTCAACAAGTATCGATTTATGGTTAATCTTATTTATATCCCCAGCTACTCCTAACTGCCCCCACCCACCCACCTAAGCGGAATTATTTCTAAGCAAATCCCAAACATTTTATTTCATTGTAAATATTTCAGAATGTATCTCTGAAAAATGGCTTTTTTCAACAAAACTGCAAAATCATGATCACTTCTAAAAAATTAATAATTCCTACTATCATCAAATATCCAAAGAGTTTCATAAATTGTTTTATTTTACTTTTCAGTTGATTTGTTCAAATCAGGAATCAGACAAGGCCCACACGTCACATTTGGTGGATATGTCTCTTAGGACTTTTTAAATCTATGGGTTCTCCTAACTTCTTTTTTTCTTGCAATTTATTTATTGAAGAAATTGAGTTATTTGTCCTATAGAGTGTCCCGAACTCTGGATTTTGCTGATTGCATATACCCATGGTGCCATTTAACATCCTCATCTGTCCCCTGTATTTCCTGTGACCTGGTAGGTGATCTAGAGACTTGATCAGACTGAAGTTACTTGTTTCATATTTAGTGCAGGCTCTGTTTTAGTAATCAGTGTTGTGGTCCATTGGGAGGACCTCCAGTAACACATGATGCCGTGGTCCTTCATGTCGCTGACCCACTGAGCTCACTCGCGGACATTATTCCTAAACCAACTAGGCCTGCAGGCTGTATACTGTATTGAACCTCCCTGCCCTGTTTTTTGAATGAAGCCAGAAAGAGACAGGATAACATGTGCCAGGCAGTATGTTAGCTCTGGAGCTACTGCTGTGACCAAGACTGGCATGGCCCCTGCCCCCCAGGAACTCACAGCTTAGTGGGGAGAGCAACCAGAACCTACAAATGAAGTGAAATCATTACAAATTGGGGTGGGCAGTGGAAAAAACAAATAGGGGCTGACATGTAAATCTCTGGAGTGGGAGTGGGGGAAGGGAGAAGGAACCAGCACTTGGATGGTAGGAGAAGGTCTCTTTGAGAAGGTGAGAAAGGGCCAGTCATGTGAATGAGGAGGCAGGGAGACAGCAGTGATTGTAGTGGGACAGGATGGATGTCTTTAGGACTGAGACGCCAGTTAGGAGCCCATTCCAACCGGGCCTGTTGGATGATGGTGGCTTGGACTAGACGGTGGTAGTAGGGATGGAGGAAGTACCATTTACTTTGGAGGTAGGACATATAGGACGTGGGAGGCGAGAAAGAGGAAGGTTTCCTGGTTTAAGCAAGTGGGTGAATGGCGGCTATGGCATTAGTCTTGGGCAGTTGCTGGAACTCCCCTGGGGTGCCCAATGTAGTCCCCGTAGGGACTGCACACTGGGTCTGTACCCTCTAAGTGCATTTCAGGCCGTTTCCTTTGTACTCCCTGCCCTTTGACCACTGAATTGCTCAATGGCACTTCCAAAAGTTAAAGAAAAGGAATAAGGCTGGTAGGGGCATCATGGTCTTTGAAGACTTTGCAAAAAAAAACTTGCACCCAAGTGTAAGGTACTATTGTTGTCAATCAAGTTTACAATTAATTGATATATCTTAAAAAAAAAAAAAAGTTTACTAGGGAGAAGTTTAAAGCTAAAGAATCAAATGAAACTTCTGAATTTTCTCCTAATTTCACTTAGCTTTGATGTCTTCTTTCTTCATTATCACAGATGACTGAGTTGAAGGTACAGTAAAGTTGGCTGAATAATGATTTCCCAATAATAATACTATGATGATTATATGACCTTTGGGTAGAGCATTTGCAGTACTTCATGATACATGTCTAAAACTTCAATTCCTAAAGCACTCCTTGTGAAGAGAGAGACACATTCCTGTGCCCAGATTCTAAATAATAAAAGACATCAGGAGTGTTTTCAAATTTTTTAGACCAATTTAAATTGCATCTGAAAACCTCTTTTGAGAACTCCTTGTCTATATGTGGTCTCTGTGTGATGACTTCCCACTAGCAGCTGGTCACTGCCAACTTCTAGTGGCTTGAGAAAGTGAGCCGTTTCCCACGCTCCCACATGTAAATCCAGTTGGGATGTTTGTGCAATACTGTAGTGCTGGAAGAGGGTGAGAGACCAGCTGGGTGGAATTCCTTCCCGATTCTCTCTTCTGCAGCCTGTCATTATGTCCTGAAAATTAGTGCTAGAGCCAGGTGATGATGGAAAATATGTTGCCTAAAGATTTGACAGCCTGTGGAGTTTGATGAAAAAGAGAGGGTTTTGTTAAATCCACAGTTAACTCCCAAAGTTCTCGTTCTTTTCCCAGTTATTAGTTGCTGTTGAGTTGACTCTGACTCACGGTGATCCCATGCACAACAGAACGAAATGTTACCCAGTCCTGCACCATCTTCACAATTGTTAGTATGTTTGAGTCCATTGTTGCATCCACTGTGTATTTTGAGTACCTTCCAACCTAGGGATCTCATCTTCCAGCATTATATTAGTCAACGTACAGTTGTGATCCATAGAGTTTTCATTGGCTAATTTTTAGAAGTAGATCTCCAGACCTTTTATTCTAATCTGTTTTAGTCTGGAAGCTCTGAAATCTGTCCACCATGGGTGACCCTGCTAGTATTTGAAATACGGGTACCATAGCTTCTAGCATCATAGCATCATGCAAGCCACCACAGTACAATAAATTGACAGATGGATGGTGGAAAAGACATGGAACACTTCGGCTCCATCACATTGAACCTTTTTTAAAACCAGGTTCTTGGCATATTGCAAGTGCTTGATTTTAAGTTCCTCTCTAATTACCCACCCCACTGCCCTCTGCTAGTAATGAGGTCTGAAATGACTGAAGGATAAGGCTGCGGGAGGAGGATGGGGGGAAATAAGCAGCCTGGGAAACCCACAGGCCTTCTGGCCAACTCCTGGACAATTGAGTTGCTTTTCAGATTTCTATTTTTCCAACCTGCTTATGATGCAGCCTCTTGAAGTGTAAAATTAGGGAATTAAAAAAAAAATCAGATTGTCTAAGTAAAAAGACCATTAGAGCCATATTCTATTTCCTCAGTGGATTGTGCACTCACAAGAATATGAGAAGATGGTCAGAGCCTCATCCGTTAGCATAACCCTAGAGGGTCCAAGTGTCCCCACCACCATGGGGCAGAGTTGCTACTATATCTCACTGACTTCTTTCCCATCTTCCCAAGGACTGTGGGTTTTAGTTGAATAAGAGCAGTAATAACTTTTTAGAAACAGTAATAACACCCAGTAACTGATTTCAAGAAGGCTTGAAGGCCAGCTTTGGAATCAGACTTCCTACATTCAAATCCCAGTGCTGTCCGTTAATACTTGGTGACTTTGGACAAATTAATTAACTTACCTCAGTTTCCCCATCAGAAAAATATGGATAATAGTAGTACCTAGTGTTATGGGGTTATTCTGAGGATTAGATACTAATAAGATTCCTGGACCATGGTAAACATTCAGTAAGTGTTAGCTATTATTCTAATACATGAAGCTATTCAAAATAATTAGTAATGCCATAATACCCCAAACATATTTACTTCTTGACATTTTACTTACTTTTTATTTATTGTATAGTCATGATTTGTTTCAGTCCCTCAGTTTATCCTGTGGATTGTGGGTCTCTTGAACGGGAGGACTGCAAGTGGATGTATTGTGGTAAAATATGTGTAACAAAAAGCTTGCCATTTTAACGATACAGTTCAGTGGCATTGTATACATTTACCATGTTATGTGACTATCACAACTATCTATTTCCAAAAGTTTTGCATCAGTCCAAGCAGAAATTCAGTACCTAAGGAGCCCTGGTGGTGCAGTGGTTAAGTGTTCAGCTGCTAACCAAAAGGTTGGCGGTTCAAACCCACCAGCCATTCCCTGGGAGAAAGATGTGGTGGTCTGCTTCCATAAAGATTTACAGCCTTGGAAACCCTATGGGGCAGTTCTACTCGGTCCTATAGGGTAGCTATGAGTCGGAATCGACTCAACAGCAATGGATTCAGCAATAGCTCCCATTCCCTTTCCCCCCAGCCCCTGTTAACTGCAAATAAACTTTTGTCTCTATGCCATTTGCCTGTTCTATGTATTCCATGTAAGTGGGATCATACAGTATTTGTCCTTTTATGTCTGATTTATTTCACTCAGCATAATATTTTCAAGGCTCATCCATGTCGTAGAATGTATCAGGACTTTGTTTCTTTTTGTGGCTGAATAATACTCCATTGTACGTATATACCACATTTTGTTTATCCATTCGTCTGTTCATGGCCATTTAGTTTGTTTCCACTTTTGGCTATTGTGAATAGTGCTGTAATGAACATTGGTGCAAACATACCTGTTTGCATCCCTGCTTTTGAGTCTCTTGAGTGTCTGCCTAGGAGTGGAATTGCTGGGTCATATGGTAATTCTGTTTAATTTTTTGAGGAATTGCTAAACTATTTTCCACAGCAGCAGCACCATTTTACAATCTCACCAGCAGTGCATGAAGGTTCCAGTTTCTCTACAGCCTGCCCAACTCTTGTTATTTTCCATTTTTCTGATAGTAGGCATCCTAGTCGTGGTAGTGGCATGGCCTACCGTGTCTGTCCTGGTACGTAAGGATAACTCAGTTTGTTGAATAAATTAATGAAGGCTGTAATAATGACTTGTGTTTGACTAGTACTTGCTTTTTCCCTTTCACGTTTATTCCCATCATCCTATTTGAGGTAAGAAAGGCACAGATGAGGAAGCCTGAGACTCAAAGTTGAGACGCTTGCCTAAGGTCCTGTGACTGGTATATGGCAGAGTCAAGGTCTTATGATTCTTGCCCAGTGCTCTTTCCCCCAGACCCTACAGCCTAGAAAAACAATGCTGAGTTGTTAAATTTGGGATCATGTCTTTCTCAAACTCTTTTGTATTTAACCTACTCTGGGTACCTAGTGACAACACTTTGTGAGTGAGTTCCAGTCTTCCTTGTATTCCCTTAACCATACTTGGTTTTGTATAGGTCACCACAAATGGCATCATCGCCATGAGTCAGCCCCCAGCTGAGGAATCCCATCCTGGAGTCTTCCCACCGACCTTTGGGGCTGTCGCCCCTTTCCTGGCTGACTTGGACACCTCAGATGGCCTTGGGAAGATTTATTATCGAGAGGACTTGTCCCCTTCTGTCACTCAGCTGGCAGCAGTGTGTGTCCAGAGAGGATTCCCAGAAGTCTCTTTCCAGCCCAGTAGTGTGGTGGTTGTCACTTGGGAATCTGTGGCCCCCTACCAAGGACCCAGCAGGAACCCTGCCCAGGAAGGCAAGGTGAGTACTCATGCAGGTACAAGTGCAAATAGTCTAACAGATTGGTTTTACACTCTTTGGTCTTCTGGTTTGTGCTACTGTGATGTACATCATGTCTGTGTTATTGGTAAAAATAGGAAACCCAAAGCAAAATCTACTAGGTTGATTATTGCAGGTCCAAAAAGTTCCAAAATTTATCTACAAGGGCTTTATAACTATATTTCAGTGATGATTAGATAAAAGAAAGCCAACTCCTAAGAAGACTGGTATCCGACAAGAATAGGACTGATAAATAGCATCCCCTACCTGTGTTTTTAAAATGTATAACCTTACTTTTGTTGGCAAATTATGGGGAGAGGGTGGTTTCTAATTAAATAGAGAAGCTAGAAATATGAAGTGATGGGTTTAAAATAACAACATGGTCCCGAGGGATGTGAAGAGATAAAGACAAGACCCTACACTCTAGTTGGGGAGATCAGAATCGTTTGCACCATGCGTGGTTGAGAAAACAAGTGCTATCAGAATTCAGAGGTGGGGTCCATGTGAGCTCAGTAGTCAGGAAAGGCTGCAGAGGTTGAACTTGCCCTTGAAGGAAGGGGAATATTTGGGTAGGTCAAGAAGCCCTCCTAGGCCTTGAAGTGACTTTAGGACATTCCTCAATTTTTCTTGGAAAAATAATTTATCTCCACCATTTAATTTTTATATGATTACAGGGTAGAGAGAAACTTGAAAGGTCTAAAATCTCTGCATTTAAATGGCGGTTGTTCCCAAAGTACTTACCCCAGAACACTATTCCTATAAGATAGTTCTTCAGAGAGGCCTCCTTGGAGACTCACACTGGGAAGTCCTGCAGTAAAGAAACCTGCTTAATGTTAACCTAGTATTTCTCAAACCTTTTTGGCCATACTTTTCCCCCCTCAGATAAAACACATTACGTCCCACGTGTGTTTTATGTGGGACTTTGGGAAGTCTGTTATGGGCCTATGTGACATATTTTGCTTTGACAGCTGTTCTCTCTCTGAGTGCTGTACTTGAAAAACTGCTTAAAATCTCAAAATTCTTGAGTGCCTCCCTTTTATTTGCATGATAAACGCCCAATTCCTTGGTGCTGAGCGCTCGCTGCCTCTCAGGCCTAATCTTCTGTTACTCCTCCACATGTCCTGTGCAGCAGCTGTACCAAATTATTTGCAACTCCCTGATCATGCTCCTCCTCTTTTGAAACTGTACTCTCTTGCACATGCTGTCTTCTCTACTTGCGATGTCCTTTCCCTGACCCTCTTGACAGGTGGTGAACTCTTGTTTGTTCGTTCAGACTTGACTCCTCTGTGAGGCCTTGATCAACCACTGCCTTCTTCACTCCCATCCTCCTTAGCGTTGGGCACTTCCTGCTAAGTCTCCTCTAGCTCTTTCACCCATCCCTGTTATAGAATCCAGCCCCAGGTTTTTGTAATGTTTGGTTCACAGGTCAGTCTTTCCATCGAGACAGTAAATTCTCAAGTTCAGGGACTGTGTATTTTTATTCTGTGTCTCCACAGAGTTAAGGCCAATGCCTGGCTCATAGGAAAGATACTAACATTTATGGAGTACTTTTCTCTGTGCCTGGCCCTTCATAGGTTATCTCATGTAGTCTTCATAACACATCTATGAGGTAGGTGGTTTTATCTCCATTTTACAGATGCAAAACTCAATGCTTAGCGAGCTTAAGTAACATGCCCAAGGTCACACAACCAACAGACAGTAGAGCAAGCATTCGGATCCAGGTCTGTTTTCTCCCAAAGCTCACATTTTTTTCTACTGTATGATGCTTGGGCTCAATAAATATTTGCTGAATGATGACTAAGGTTGAATATGTTTAATGGCCACGGAAACAAATTCTAAGGGCTAAGAATTTCCTACGTTGGATGAGATTTAGGCCACCATCTAAAGTTACCATGATCTTAGAGTTACATGGCTTTAGAGATATTTCATTGGCGCTATCCTGGAATTTAGTACTTGGTCCTTGCTATGAGAGTATTTTTTTTAGAATGAGATAAGCATACTGCCATCTGTTTACAGTACTTTTCATAAAGAGCTTCTGGTGAATAACACATTATAAGATCTCCGGATTCTTTTCCTGAGTAACTGAATTTTAACTCATCTTCACAGAGAAACACATTCCAGGCTGTTCTGGCCTCCTCCGATTCCAGCTCCTATGCCATTTTCCTCTATCCAGAAGATGGTCTGCAGTTCTATACGGCATACTCAAAGAAGGATGAGAACCAAGTTCCCGCTGTGGTTGCATTCAGCCAAGGTTTAGTGGGACTCATATGGAAGAGCGATGGTGCTTATAATATATTTGCAAATGACAGAGAATCAATTGAAAACTTGGCCAAGTATGCTTTCTTTGTTCTTCAGTAGATTCTTCTCTTAACAAGATTATCATTTCTTAAGGATAATGTTATGGGCTTTATAGAATGTTACCTAAAAATCTTCCTATGGATTTAAATTTTGTATCTAGTTTTTATATTATGCAATACTTTTTTTCTGATGAGATCAAGGGAATATACTCTTAGGATGAACAAGTGTCCTATTTTTTAGATATCATCCTTATTTTAAACAGTTTCTACCATTTCCCCTGTAAGTATAAAGTTAGAAATGAGTTATTCAAACTTATGTCCTTCTGTGAACCTGAGACAGAAAACCTTTTCCCCCTCCCCCATAGATTAGTGTTGTTCTTACGACAAAAACAGTGCTTTCTCAGGTTATTTTGAAGAATTTGGTAAAAGGAGGAGAAGCCAAGACTGATTTTTCTAAAATTGAAATCTTTCCTTTCCTGTTATTTTGTAAAAATTTTTTAAAAAACTCCCCCTTTCCCCTAATTTTATATTGTCAAATCTAGCCTAAAACTTGCCTGCCTTTTACTTAGTAGTGTGCCCATAAATGCCCAACAACCAGTTTTCTGGGTGTGGCAGGGAAAGCCCTGATTTATAGCAGTTGCCTATTTCTGTGGTGTAAATACTCCTACTGTGGCAAATTTCAAGCTACTAGTTTGATGTCACTCAACACCAACTTGAGAAGCAGTGCATCATTACATAATATGATATAGTGTTTCCACCATGCAGATACAATATATTTAAATCAGGGCTTTGAACAGGTTCTTCCCCGTTCAGTCATGGCTAAGGAAGCAACACTGGAACAGACCTGGATTTTTAGAATTCGGGTGAACTGGAATGGTAACTGGAACAGGAGAAATTACAGGTCAAAGCCCTGCTAGAAACTTAATCTCCCTCTTGAAAAACAAGGGCAGAGTATGCGTTGCATAGCAACTAAATCTCTTGCCGGGTGGATTTTGTGCAAAGTGGGAAACGGTGCATCACTCAAAGATGACAGCTGACTGTGTACATTGCTCTCCACAGTCCTGCCAAAAATCCAATCTCATGCATCAGGCTCCTGAAGGACTCACTATGCCTCTTCTGAGTCTCCCATTCCATGGCTTCCACCTGTAGTTTTTCCTGCTCAAGTTACCATTCCAGATCACGAAAATTGTAAAAATTCAGGTCTGTTCCGGTTTCGCTTTGTCAGCCACGACTGAACCAGTTCAAATCTATTCAAAGCCCTGATTTAAATAACTTCAACAGCACAGATAAAGAGAATAGTAAAATAATTAGGATATGATGAGTTTTTAGTATTTATCTTTGTTTTTTGTTGAATGTATTTAGTTGTAATATTGTGTAAGTAATTTTTTACAATTGCTGTAATTTTTTTAATAACTGGCTCGCAAACACAAATTTAACAATTGGTTCTCATGAGTTAGTACAAGCAAGCTCTCACACACCACTGCCTTTACTTGATTCTGAGGTAGGCAGGTTGGTTAGATGTCCTATTTCTGGAAGATTTTCTCGATTCTTCATTCTCCATCCCACCCCAATTTTTTGCTCAGTTTTCTCCAAAGACCCATTCTGAGTAATGTTATGTCCTCTCTTTCCATCTTATTACATAAGATGGTCATTTATATCATTTTTGATAGGAACATTTTCTAATCATAGATACTTAAGAACAGTAAAAATAGTGCAGCAAGAGATAGAAATTCAGGTTATTGTGTTGTGTTTGATAATTATAAAATGCCTTTGGTTCTATATGTATTTGCTTCTCACTACAACCTTTGAACACAGAAAGGTAAACAGACCTGTCCAAGATCCTTCACCTGATGGAGCTGGGATTTCTAATAAACCATGCCATGGAAAGAGAATAGGCAACAGGTTGCTTATATGATAGGGCATTTAACCAACTATTAGTATGAATCGAACTTCAAGGGCTAGACTGAAGCTCTCCAGTGGCTGAGTAAGCCAGTGCAAGGGCTGTGCCTGTTTGGATAAGTCCCCACAGAGTAGCCCAGGAAGGTCTTAGCTCTGTGATAACCAGACATGACCACATCTGCTCAGCTCACTCTCCAGCCCCAGCTGTACGGGAAGCAGGCAGTAGCTTTCACATGGACACAGATCCCACGTGCCGCTTCTGCTTGGATGGTGGGGTCTTTTTGTGGGTTATTGACTTGTTTCCAAGAGGCCTGTCCTTCCCCCTAGGAGCAGCAATTCAGGGCAGCAGGGCGTCTGGGTGTTTGAGATTGGGAGTCCAGCCACAGCCAGTGGTGTGGTACCTGCTGACGTGAACCATGGATTCGATGATGGAGCAGAGTATGAAGAGGAGGATGAAGATTATGACCCAGTGATGAGGCTGGGCCCGGAGGACGTGGCCACTACACTCTTCCCCTATGAGACTCTGGGAAGGAGAGACACTGACTCATACCATGTGCCCAGTGTACTCTCCCCCCGCCGCGTAGCAACTGAGAGCCCCCCTGAACTTCCCACGGCGAGGACCAGGTCTTTCAAATTGCCGGTGGAGAGGTTTCCCCAGCAGCGCCCACAGGTGATAGATGTGGATGAAGTTGAGGAGACAGGAGTTGGTAAGGCCTTTTAAGTTGCATTTTGGTACATATTCAGACACTCAAGTTTCAGACAGGAGTACTGCTGGAGGGAATGTCAGTTGTGTGCATTATATGGTGATTTGTAAGAATGAGAACCTAGGGAAGTTAGGGGCTGAAATTTTCACAGTCAGAGCATTGGTGTATAGGCCTGATAGTGTCAAAAAATCCAGATAGCCTTTTGGGATTAGGGCTGTGGCTATGGAGACTGTTGAGTATGTCTTTTTTTCCTAGTATTCCATTCTGTCTGTTTTAAAGAGAAAAGTGCCTTAGAATTATTTTGAAAGTCAGATTTTCTTATTTGTGACTTCTAAGACCAGAAATATATTCATCCACCTGAAAAAACATTTAGAAGTTCCTTTGGCTATTTAAGAGCTTATCCTTGACATTTATTTCCTCTTGGCTTTGAAATTAGAACGGCTGATTATTTTTCCTCCCAGGTCATATCAGTTTCCGAGTTGGTTTGTGAAGATAAAGAATATAAAATACGTTGATCCCCCTTTTCAAGCTAGTTTTACAGTTCTGTGTCTTCTAGTCGAACATATTATATCAGATTTTTGCTACGTTTTTAGAGGAAGACAGTTTGAACCCCAGTACACTTTAATTTGTCTTACAAGAGATATTCAAACTAAATTGTGTTCATTATTTTCTTCTCTTCAGGTTACCTTATAATCCATTAAAATTCATATAAATGGGAGGGTCCATGCATTTAAATGATGTGGACTAAGACTCTTTACTGCCTCTGCTATGAAGTTTTCATAAGGCCCTCAGAAAAGTGTAGCCCATCCACATTATTCACTCATTTTTATTTCTGGTTACTTGTTTTGATTTATCTCTTAGCAATAATCATACATTTTTGTTCTTATTGAGTGTCCCAAAGCATGGACAAGATCTGGTGGCAATGGGTGGTGTGATTACTTTAGAGAGGAGGAAACTGAGGCACAGAAATGGCGGCGTTGCCATTAGGAGACAGAATGAGGAAATGAGTTTGTCTCAGTCCTCCTCCAGTACACGCCGCACCCTGGATTTCCTTGCTGACACCAGCGTCCCTTAGCACATGGCCATCTGCCTCTTACAGCCAGGTTTCGAGGTCATCTCCCCAGAGGTGTTGGGTGTGTTTACTTGCAGTGGTTGAGTTTTGAGTCTCATCCTGTTTCCACCCTACCTAGGCATCTCTGAAGTTCTCATTTTGGAAGCAATCACATTTAAACAAGGCCATCTATACCCCAAACATATGACTGTATAGTATTGGATATTGGTAAAAGCCTAGATTTGAACCCAAAATGTGCCTAAAACAGATGTTTTTCTGTCCTTGTATTTAAGTTATTTCACTGCTTTTATTAAAAAGATCAGTCTTCTGTAGACCACAGTGTATTCCTGGTGTTATGTCGGTGGTCACCCATGGATATGCAGGCCATAATGGACCCGCTGAAAAGCTGGATATACAGCTGGAGCTTAACAATCAGTGGCACCACATGTGTGTTCATTTCCAGGTCCACATGTTCTCAGCTCCAAATGCCATCCTTATATGCACTGGAAATTCCCTTCTAAATATGCAGGAGTAATAGAATCTACCTGGGGTTAAATTTTGACTTTTAGCTTCACTCAACAGTCAATTACAAATTGGATTTTTATCCCCCTTAAAAGTCCATCCCCTCCTGTGCTTTTGAACTACATCCCATATTAATTTGCTCTGGATTATTAAATTTAATGAGCTAGTTTCATAATTCTAATAAAATGAACCTGGGAGGTAAGACTTTTAGGGGGAAATTAGTTTTGTTCCTTGGATCAAAGGCTTATAGACCAGGTGTGACTGTGGGATTACTTCCGATCAGCTTTTGCATGTATGAGCTTCTGAGTTATCCCTTGGGGAGAAGTGGGGACCAAGAAAAAAATATTTTAAGATCCTTCCGGATCCTTTGGACCATATTAGATGAATAACATCCTAAGATTGCTATTGAATGGCAATACCCTAACATTGATCCAATCATACATTAAATTCTAGAAATTTTTAATAATTCTCCCTGTGATTTCTCAAACTCCTTTTAGACCCATTTGCCTGGGTTGTTTCAGCCACATTACTGTTTAAGTAGCAACATGCAATGGATGTAGTCTTCCATGGTGAGTCTTTTGACATTGCCTAAAACACGTGTAAATTCCTGCAGGCCTGCCATGCACCTGTGTGGTATGCCTGTAGTCAAGTGAGACCCTTACAGGTGTGCTATTTTCTCTGCTCAGTTTTCAGCTACAACACTGATTCCCGGCAGACGTGTGCCACCAACAGACATCAGTGCTCCGTGCACGCAGAGTGCAGGGACTACACGACTGGGTTTTGTTGCAGCTGTGTTGCTGGTTATACTGGGAATGGCAGGCAGTGTGTTGCCGAAGGTAACTTGCTTTTTAATGTTAAATTTGTGGTGGGGGAGAGGATGGGGATGGAGTTTTTGTTTAGTGCTTATTTCTAAATGTTGCCTTGACCCCAGTTGCTGGAGGTGTGTAATGTTTTTAGTACGGCAGTGATGTTTCATCTCTCATTCCCTGTTCTTCCTCATACTTTGCCAGTGGGCATCCCTCATGGAATGTCCATTATCCTAAGATAATGAGGTCTCTTTCTGTGCCATTTCTCCATCTCTAAGGTGACAACCACTTGGAGTCCATCTTCAAAACTGCCGAAAGCATGGGGCAAAGGCTGAAGTGTTGAAATTATGCAGCCTGGACCAGGAATTGTTAATGCTTCTCATTTTCCTCAGTTTCTTTCAAACCTCTTCTATGCCTTTGTCTTTTGAGTGTTCCAAGTTTTATTTAGTATTGTTCACAGATCTGTCGTAATGGCTGTTAAACCCTGGCAGCACCACAAAGGGCTAGCATAGACCAGCGTTTGTAGTGGGGAAAGTTTATTCCAGTCATCCTTCCCCTCGTGCCCCTGAAATCATAGTGTGGTTATGGCAGAGCACAAGGGGTGCACCAGTTAATTCTAGAGCACCATACCAATTCTGGGGATAACTCTCAACTGGATTCAGCAGTGAGACTACATCAGTCTGGACTCTGCCCACAAAAGGATCAGCTAGTCTTGATACTCGCAGATGGTCAGAGGAAACCTCTCTGTACAAGTCTAGGGAATACCAGTTTATTCAGAGTTAGACCTATGAGAAAAAAAAAAAAAAACCCAAAATACCCAAACAAGTTCCCATGAGTTTATTTCAATTCATGACAATCCCATGTATTGCAGAGTAGAACTGTGCTCCACAGGGTTTTCAATGGCTGATTTTTCAGTAGATTGCCAAGCCTTTCTTCCGCCGTACCTCCAGATGGGTTTGAACCACCAATCTTCTGGTTAGTGAGTGCTTAACCGTTTGCACCACCCAGGGACCCTGACTATGAGAACCTGGAGCTGTACACCAGAATTAAAACCACACGAGAACAGAACAAAAAATAACCCCACTGTACTGATCATTTGTGCCCTTGGATGCCAAGATGCCAACAAGTCGCCTCACTGTGTCACAGGTCATTTTTCTTCTGTGTTTAGTGGGAAGCTTCAATTGCTTTGCAAATTTTGACAAAATAAAATCCAGCTGGAGGAATGTCTTCTATTTTTTCAGATCCCATGCCATAGTTATAGTTAAATTAGTTATAATTTTAATTTACTTAAAAAAGAAATAATAGGTTCTTTCTGGGTCACATTTAGATTAGGTAAGTTTTTTAATACCACCATGATAAAAGAAAAAATTTAGTATACTTTCCCTATTAATTTTTTGGGATGTTTTTAACTTCTTTAAATGTGTTTTCTCTTTTCTTTCCAATCCCACCACCCCAGGAATGGTATGCCTTTGCTTCTTTGTTTCAGGCTTGGCTTTTATGACTCTCCCACCCTGGGAGAAGCTTCCAAAATCCACAATGAAAGCTTTTTCTTAAAGAGCAACCTCATTAGCTCTTCGCATGCCAAATATCAGAGCTCGCAATGCTGAGCAGTATGTGTTTGGCAGCAAGCTTAGATATGACAGACTGTGCTGCTCAGATTTTGACATGACATATGCGCCCCATAATAGTTGTGTGGTTGAAATACCTGTTGGATTCTTACTACTTTTAAAAAATGTTTCTAGCTCAAAGTTGAGTGCAAAGGAATTTGTTTGGTTTCCTGAACTTGGCTTTCCTGCTTGTTTCTGTAATTATTCCTGGGGTGCATTTTTTTGCTGTTAGTCTGCTAACTTTGCAGCATTCCCCAGCGTGATGACACAATCTGTGTGCAGGATTACACTCTGGCTTCTCAGTAGCCCCGTTTGGCAGCTTGGACATTTTAAACAGAGCAAAAAGTCGTCAGAAGGTCCATGACGATGCCCAGGTGTGAGGCTGGCTGTCTGGGGTTTACTCAACAAGCATTACTGAGAATTTACTATGTGTAGAATATTGCCATGACCCAGGAGGAAGTTGGGAATGAAAGTCCCGTCCCTAGTAAATTATAATCTAGGAAGAAAAAGAAGATACGCACAATCGGTAACTGACAATTTAATTCTATCTCAAACCTGAAGAGTCCACAGTGACCTTTGTTTTATCTCTTGTTCTATCCTGCAATTACTTTTTAGATACTTGCATATGCTTTTAAAGTGCAAAATTCAGTGGGTTTTAGCATTTCACAAAGTTGTACAGCTATTGTCATTATCTAATTTTAGAACATTTTTATCACCCCAAAAAAGGAACCCATTAACAGTCAACTCTTAATTCCCCCAAACTCCCCAGCCCCTGGTAACCACTAATCCACTTTCTGTCTCTGTAGATTTGCCTATTCTGGACATTTCATATAAAGGGAATCATACAATATTTGTCTTTTTGTGTCTGGTTTCTTTCACTCAGAATAATGTTTTCAGGGTTCATCCATGTTGTGGCATGTGTCAGCACTTCATTCTTCTTTCTAGCCAAACACTATTCCACTGTATGGATATGCCACATTTTGTTTATCCGTCCGTCAAATGATGGACATTTGGATTGTTTCTCTTTATGACTACTATGAATAATGCTACTGAGACTATTCATGTACAAGTTTTTGCATGGACATATGTTTTCAATTCTGTTGGACATAATGTTTTCAATTTTCAGTTATATACTAGGAGCTGGGATTGCTGGGTCATGTGGTAACCTTCAGTTTTCTTTTTGGAGTATGTCACGGATTGAATTACGAATTATGTCCCCCAAAAATGTGTGTATCAATTTGGCTAGGCCATGATTCCCAGTATTGTATGGTTATCTTCCATTTTGTGATTGTAATTTTATGTTAAAGAGGATTAGGGTGGGATTGTAACACCCTTACTAAGGTCACATCCCTGAGCCAATGTAAAGGGAGTTTCCCTGGAGTGTGAGCTGCACTACTTTTTATCTTCCAAGAGATAAAAGGAAAGGGAAGCAAGCAGATTGTCGAGGACCTCATACCACCAAGAAAGCAGAGCACGTCCTTTGGACCTGAGGTTCCTGTGCTGAGATGCTCCCAGACCAAGGGAAGACTGGTGCATCATAAGGACCTTCCTCCAGAGCCGACAGAGAGAGAAAGCCTTTCCCTGGAGCTGGCACCCTGAATTCGGACTTGTAGCCTACTAGACTATGAGGGAATAAATTCTCTTTGTTGAAGCCATCCGCTTGTGGTATTTCTGTTATAAAAGCACCAAGATGACTAAGTACAACAAGAACAACTTAATTTCTTAAGATCTTATTTTTTTCCTGATTAAACAATAATATATGCAAGTTATAAACATTCAAACATTATACAAATGTATAGTATAGAAAATGAAAATTCACTGGATTGCTCTGAGTTAACCACTGTTAACAGTTTTGTGTCCATCTCTTCATATTTTCCCCAGCTATGTGCTAACATGTGTTATTAATATATATTTTCTAAATAAAGATGTTGCCACCCTGGTTATACTATTTGACAGCTTGTTAAGAAAGGCATGAAATTTGCCATAGGAGAGCCCACTGACATTGCCCCGATTGTAAGTGGAACAATCAAGAGCAAACACAACCCCATTCCACCAAGCTGGTTTAGCTTCAGAGGGCGTGTTTGCACGGCCTGTGATGTCCACCCACGCCCTTCTGTGTTCTGGGTTGGGCTGGATGAGGCTCTGGGATTCAGACTGCCAGTCCTCACCCTGGGTTGTTTTCGAGTCAGAGATGCTTAATAAGGTGTTTTACAGATTGGGCCACCAAATGTCCCATATTCCCCAGGACCACCCCAGTTTAGCCCTGTGGTCCCAGTGAAATTGCTAACTCTTCCCCTTTTACTCTCGAAAGTGATAAATGATATAGCCTCCCTGGTTCTAGATCATCCACGATATTGTTCTTCTCCTAAAGTTGTTCTATTTGCCCCTGAAGTTCCTCGCTCACACAGCAGCTTATGCTGGAGCCACCTTTCACTTGTCTGTTATCAGTCAGCACAGAAGAGAGGCAAGGACTTTGGGATTTTGAAGGCCCGTGGCGCACAGTTGTAGGTACTTTCTTGGGAAGAAAAACAACTTTCACTTATTCTAGAGCCACTTACCCAGTGCTGTCTTGCCTCTTCGCTTTCTTCATGAATAGATCCAGTCATAACAGACATGTTATTCTTTTTTGAAAGGCTGACTTGACAGCAATATCTGCCTCCTTTCTTTGTTTCTCTCTCAGGGTCCCCTCAGCGAGTTAACGGCAAAGTGAAGGGAAGGATCTTTGTGGGGAACAGCCAGACCCCAATTGTCTTTGAGAACACCGACCTCCACTCTTACGTCGTGATGAACCACGGCCGTTCCTACACGGCCATCAGCACCATTCCTGAGACCCTTGGGTATTCCCTGCTTCCTCTGGCCCCCGTGGGAGGCATCATTGGATGGATGTTTGCTGTGGAGCAGGACAAATACAAGAATGGGTTCAGCATCACTGGTAATTTATATCCTACATTAAGATCAGTAGGCCACACAGTGGAGCCTGGGGGGTCTGGGGGTGAATGGAAAGGGAACCCTATGTAGGCAAACAACTTACTGATAAGCATGTTGTGGCTCCTTTTGTGTCTATAGAAAGAGAAACCTGTAGTTTTGCCCTTGGAATAAGAGGTTGAGATAAAATTATCACATAATTTTTTCATTAATATGTGTTAACTGAGACAGCCTGGCATTGTGTTTTTTACAAACGGTAATAACATATGTAATATTGAAGTTGTCATTTTAACCATACAATTCAGTGGCATCAATTACATTCACAATGTTGTATAACCATCACTATCATCTATTTCCAAAATTGTTTTATCACCTCAAACAGAAGCGCTGTACCCAGTAAGCAATAACTCCCCCATCACCCATCTTCCCTGGCATTGCATTTCTATCAAGGGGAGATTTCATGGGTGTGTTATACAAGTTTCTGGCCAAACAAATGGCATCAGCTCATGTATCTTCACAGCCACAAGTGTGCAGCTGATTAGTTTCCTCAATCTAATTAAAGCCTGCCTCTAAATTCAGAACTAATCTGAAGTTGATATTTGACATTTTCTCAGTATTTGCTAGGAGAAAAGGAATCAGTCATTTCTAGCTGGTAGATTAAGCCTAATAAACACAATCCTTATGAGTCTTAAGAAACTTGTTTCCTTAAGTTTCTGTCCTCTGTCCCTGCTGGTCTCCATCCTTCAGATGTCCTTTGCCCTCCACATTCCTGTGCTCATCCTTTTCACTGGCTGATTAAAGCAAATGAGTTTCAGCATATTCCCTTGAAAACTATTTGAATTGTATGCTTTTTATCAATAGTCGAACCAGTTAATGTTGAGTTGTGATTCATAGTGACCCCCTGTATGTCAGAGTAGAACTGTGCTCAATAGGATTTTCAATGGCTGATTTTTTGGAAGTAGATTGCCAGGCCTTTCTTCCAAGGTGCCTCTGAATGGACTCAAATTGCCAACCTTTCAATCAGTAGCCAAGATGTTTGCACCACCCAGGGACTCCTCTATAGTTGAAGCATTAGAGAGACTGTGCACAGACAAGGAAAGTTCAATCTTTAGCAGGCACATGGGCAGATTGTTTGTGGGATGTTTCCTTAGTGTGGTCTTGGCTTCTCCCCCCAGACAGTCCCTTGCTTTGCTGAGGCCAGCCCCCCGTTGTAAGAAAGAGGCTTACTCCTGGAAACAGCTGGGGAGGGTGGGTAGGAGCCTGTGCCTACATCACCAGTTACTTGCAGGACCTGAAGCCTATTCTGCCGGGGCACAGATACATCAGCTGCTATCTCTGTCTACCTCGACCTGCCTTCACCACTGCTGGAGCCAAGCTTGAGCCTCAGCCACTCCTTTGCTAATGGAGACCGCTGAAAGTGGATCACTCTGCTTTACACTGTTAACTCCTCCAAAAGTTAACCAGGAACAAGTTGCCATCAAGTAGACCCCGACTCGTGGTGACCCCCTGTGTGTCAGAGTAGAACTGTGCTCCCTAGGGTTTTCACTGGCTGATTTTTCCGAAGTCGATCACCAGGCACCTCTGGTGGACTTGAACCTCTGAACTTTCGGTCAGCAGCCGAGCACATTAACTGTTTGCACCACCCAGGGACTCCACTTGGGACTTGGGTCACAATAAAATAGGGGTTGTCAAACTTTTGTGCAAAGGGTTGTCAAACTTCTGTGCAAATACTAGATATTTTAAGCTTTGCCTAAATATTTTAGGTCATAAATGAATGAGTGTGGCTGTGTTTCAATAAAACTTTATTAATGGGCACTGAAATTTAAATTTCATATTATAAATTTAAATTTCATAAAATATTATTCTTCATTTAAAAATGGAAAACCTATTCTTAGCCCAAGGACTGTACAAAAAATAGGCAGTGGACTAGACTTACCCCTCAAGGTGTAGTTTGCCAAACCTTGCTATAATGGAAGTATCCAAATGTGGAAAAGACAGGCCTGCGAAGAAGGGACAAGTATTTTCTGTGTGGCTGAGGTAGCTGCCCTGTATAGACCAAGGGCCATTCCTGAGCCAGCCCCAGTAGTGGGTGGCCCTAAGGTGGGTTTCTGTACTGGTGATGGTTCGCACTGAGCAACTCACACACCTCACCAGGACTTACCTGTTAGAACAATCATCCCCACAATTCACAGAGCACAATTTGCAGAGCACTTTATCTCTTTAATTTTTACAAGATAGACTGTATTGTCATAAGGAAATGGAGGTTCAGAGGGCTGAAGTAATGGTTCAAGTTTACCAGCCAGTACCTAGCACAACTGGGTGTCACACTGCTTTTTCCAGCAGCGCCTGGTACTAACGTGCCTTAGAGGTTGGCTCGTGTCTGGAAAGGAAGCATCTTCTCACCTCTCTGGATGGCTCAGTTGGGCCACATGATGGCCAAGCTTTACCAGCCTCGTGGTCTACCAACGAAACTAACTCATGCACAGATAAAATGCCCTACCACCACGGTCCCCTTTGTGACCACTGTGTCAGCCCTGGGCGGGCAGGGAGAGATCCGCGCGTTCCGTGGGTGTTGACCTGGAAACGAGCTAATCCGCGCTCATAAAACCGATCTTGTTTTGCAGGCGGCGAGTTCACCCGGCGGGCTGAGGTAACCTTCGTGGGGCACCCGGGCAAGCTGGTCGTCAAGCAGCAGTTCAGCGGCATCGATGAGCATGGGCACCTGACCATCGACACGGAGCTGGAGGGCCGCGTGCCGCAAATCGCGTTCGGCTCCTCCGTACACATTGAGCCCTACACGGAGCTCTACCATTATTCCCCTTCTGGTGAGGGCGCGCACTTCTCGAGCCGGGGCGCGGGCCGGCTTCATCCTCCGCGGGTGTGAAGTGAGAAATAGGACACACGCGTGGTAGATGATTTAGTTCAAGGAAGAAAGTAAGCGTAACATAATCGTAAAACCTGGAGATAATCATTTTTAAATTTAAGTGTATTTCCTTCCAGCCTTTCCCCCAACATATATACATATATTGTTAAAATAAGATAATAGTTTTATTATAGTATACATTTATATGTAGCTTTTAAATCTTTTTATTTTGAAATAATTTCAAACTTACACAAAAGGTGAAAATTGTACGGAAACTTTTCACAAATAATTTACCCAACTCTACCTGTTAACATTTTGCCACATTTATCATTCTCTCTCTCTGTATATATATACATATGCATGCCATTCAACCAGTTGCCATGGAGTTGACTCTAACTCATGGTAACCCCATGAGTGTCAGAGTAGAATTGTGCCCCATAGGGTTTTCAATGACTGATTTTTTTGGAAGTAGATCACCAGACCTTTCTTCCAAGGCACCTCTGGGTGGTCTTGAACCACTAACTTTTCGGTTAGCAGCCAAGTGCATTAACTGTTTGTGCCACTATACATATATACATACACATATATAAAGTTAAATATGTGTGTGTGTGTGTGTGTGTGTGTGTGTATGTGTATTCTTCCCCCTTAACCATTTGAGAGTAAGTTGTAGACATCATGATCCTTCATCCCTAAATACTTCATGTGTTTCTCCTGAGAACAAGAACATATTCTCTTAAACGTGGTCACAGTACAGTTATCAAAATAAAAATTTAACATTGATGCGATATTATTATATAATCTAGAGACAAGTATAGAGTTTTTATTTAAATAAAATTATAATCATGCCACATTTTTCTCTCTTTTTCAATTAATGTCAAATCATGAATATTTTATAGCTTCATTAAGTAGGCTTTGAAAATGCTTTTTAGTGAATCTGTACTATTGTACCGTATGGCTATTAATTTAAACCATTCTCCTATTTTCTAAAGCTTAAGTTATTTCTCATTTTTCCCCCTCATAACAAGCTAAAGTACCATCTTCATTATAAATCTTGGCCAAGTTTCTGATTTTTTCTAAGGCTCAGTTCCTAGAAATAGAAGTGATGGGTCAAACAATATGAACTTTTTAAAGGCTCTTGTTAAATTGCTGTCCAGAAAGGTTGTACCAATTACTCAGGCTTTGCGGCTTGGTTAGGCTTCTAATTCTGTGGAATGAGGGTGGGGGAGAGGAGTGGAAAGTGAATAGGACCCTGGTCTGCAGCCTGCCTGTAACCAGATGGCATTTCTGGCAGCCCTGCATGCAGAACTGGACGAAGGCAGCAGCCCACACTATTTTTTATTTATCCTTTGGCTTTTGTGCTTCTATTATGGTGAAAACTGCAGCAGTGCACAGAAATATGAAGAGTCTTTCATACTTTTTTTTAAATAGGAAGTTGTGGGTTTCATTGCATGGGTGAACAGCAGACTTCTGACTGGGGAAGACTGTCTTCTCTGTCAAGGTTTGGTCATGGCCCTTTAGTAATTTTTCAGAAATTGGCTGAAAAATACCCGTTTAGTTTCTCATTTTTAATATCATAGACTGCTTAATCTAGGTTGTGTAGAGCAACCACTATTTATTGAATCCCAAATGAGATAGCCTATATAAAGCAGTTAGCATGCTGCTGGGCACATAGTAAATGATCAGTAAATGGTATGTTAGTAATAGTATTGTTGTGGTGGTTGTTAGTTGCTGTTGAGTCAACTCTGACTCATAGCGACCTTACGTACAACAGAACGAAATGTTGCCTGGTCCTGCACCATCTTCCTGATCATCACGATGCTTGTTATTAGCCTGCTCAGTTCTAGAAGTTTTACATACTGTCTCATCAAGTCCCCGCTCAAACCCATTTTTTAAAAGAAACTGAGGCTCGAGAAGTTAGTGGCTTATAGTCACAACTGTGGTGGGGGGCTGTGAACTCAGATGTATCTCCTTCGAAATCTGTGCTCTTTCTACTGGACCGTAGTCCCTCACCTAGTCCTGGGAGTCTTAGGAACTTTCTAAGAATCACTGGATGAGAAGAAGCAACAGATAGTACCAGTAATCATAAGGGAAATCTAGGTAACAGAATGCGTTGCTCTCCAGAACTAAATCTCATTTTGCCTGATCCACCTGCCCTCCCATCTGGTAGCATCATGAGCAAGGAGGACTGCTGATTGTTTTAAAACTCTAGATTTTGCCTCACACATCCTTAAGGATTTCTCTGTTGACTTCCTGTCTTGTTCCCCCGGCCCTCACCCCCAGTGATCACGTCCTCCTCCACCCAGGAGTACACTGTGACGGAGCCTGAGCGGGACGGGACTGCCCCCTCACACACCTACATCTACCAGTGGCGGCAGACCATCACCTTCCAACAATGCACCCACGATGATGCCCGGCCCGCCCTGCCCAGCACCCAGCAACTCTCAGTGGACAGCGTGTTTGTCCTGTACAACCAGGACGAGAAGATCTTGCGATACGCTCTGAGCAACTCCATCGGTCCTGTGAGGGGTAAGTGAGGCGGCAGGTTAGATCAGGCACCGTGCATGCGCCTGTGTGTGTCTTTGTGCCCACACGTTCAAAATCCCTGCTCTGTGCATTGTTTTTAGTCCCTTACTCTCAGTCTATAGAAGGGGGAGGACATGCTCAGATATCTCCCACCTTGTTGTTTGTGAGTCTTAGAAAACCTAAGTGTCTCTGTCCTTGTAAGTGAAGCCCTCTTCACTATCGTATAGAATGCCAACCTATTGAGTTACCTTACAGAGCAGACCATTCAAGGGTTCTAGCTTTGGCAGGGCTTTGGAAACACATTCACACTCAGCCTTGAAAGGAACGTGTGCTCGGGGCCTGAGGAAATCGAGACACAGCTGGTAGGCCCAGAGCCTGAAGCGCGCTCTCCTGTTACTGCACATCAAGGGTGTGTGGCCTGGGCCCAGGGGCCTCCTAGCTGCACGGGAGGAGCTGGGGTTGGGAAGTGACCATGACATCTCAGTGTCAGACTTCACATTGTCCAGATCTTTAAGGTCTGGAGGTCATATACATTTGTGGCCTGGGTGTTAATGCTTTTTTGTTTTTTGAGTTTTTTAGATCTCTCTCCATGCTGGAGTTTGTCCTTAATCTAGCTCCATAAAGCAGAAGGAAGTCTTTCTCGTTTTAAAGCTGTGGCTCTAGACATCAGAAGCTGGCATATTTTTTCTTAAAGGACCAGTTAGTAAATATTTTAGGTTTGGCAGCTGTATGCTCTCAGCTACAACATCCTCTTGTAGCCCCAAAGGAGCCACACACCATATGTAAGCAAATGGGTATGGCTGGTTTCCATAAAAACAGGCAGTGGGCTGGAGGGGCGAAGCTCACGGATCGCTCCCCTCAGGTGGTTGCATGAGGAGTCAGCCGGTTTCCAGTTCCAGGACCCTGTGCTGCTCATGGGTGATCACCTTCTTGGTCATCAGTCGTGGCTGACTTTCTGGGGAAGGAGGAAACCTGTAAGAGTTCTCGAATACTCACTCCGTTTACATGTCTCTGCCTTCGCAGACGATTCCCCTGACGCCCTTCAGAACCCCTGCTACGTTGGCACTCATGGCTGTGACACCAACGCGGCGTGCCGGCCCGGCCCCGCCACACAGTTCTCCTGCGAGTGCTCCATCGGCTTCCGAGGAGATGGGCGGACCTGCCAAGGTACGGCATCGAGTCTGACTTTTGGGGGTCAGGGGTCAGGCTCTGTAAGACTGGGTGAGGCAAGGGTGCCTGGGAGCTGGGAAGCCCGGTGGGACGAATCCTGATGGACACACTCAGGCTTCCTCGGTGGTGCTAAGTACTGCCCTTGTCTGTCTGTGATTACACGGACCCACTGGAAGCAGCAGAGAATTTGCAAGGCCGCTCACTCTCCACCCACCTTATGAGGGCACAGATACAGAGGGAAGCTGAAGACAGTGCTGCTTATAAGAACTCTGATGATACAACTATAGCTACAGTTTACAGGCACTGTTTGAGTTAGGTGCTTCGTGAACACCATCTCACCGAATTCTCCAACTCTGAAAAACTGAGAGTTATTAAAGTGAGCACATGACAAAGCAGGATTTGATTGAGCATCTGTATCGCTGTACTTTCTCTCACTTATTTTATCATCTATAATTTAATTTCATATACTTTTGTGAAGACAACTTGATGTTTACATGCTTGTAAGTATAGTTTAATTTTAATCCACTTCCACAAGGGAAGAACCCATCCACCAGAGGCAGTGACTGCAAGAACTTCAAATACTTCAACTAAACCAAACCCATAGACACTGAGTCAATTCAACCCATAGTGACCCTATAGGACAGAGTAGAACTACCCCATAGAGTTTCCAAGGAGCGACTGGTGGATTCAAACTGCTGATCTTTTGGTTAGCAGCCAAGCTCTTAACCACTGCGCCACCAGGGCTCCAAATGCTTCAACTAGTGCTGCCTAAATCTGCAACACAGCTCCCTCATTAACACAGCAAATGTTAGAAATAAGTTTCCTGGTGAATAAGTGGTGTACAGATACATGGTTGGCTATAAAGATAAGAAAGTCCCTGGGTGGTACAAATGGTTAACGCGCTTAGCTAGCTGCTGATTGAAAGGTCAGAGATTCAAGTCCACCCAAATGTACCTCGGAAGAAAAGCCTGGCAATCTATTTATGGAAAATCAGCCATTGAAAACCCTATGGAGAAGAAGAATTGGGTGAGCCCAGCAGCCTCATAGCTCTGGAACAGACTTGGGTCTGCAATCCAACCCCCTACTTATTGGAGGATTTGCTTTGCTGATTTAACTTGAAGGTTAGTAGGTCCTGCCATCAGGGTATTGCTTTGTTTGTTTCGAAGTGAACTTTTGAAAGCACCAGAAATAATGGAGAGCAGGGACTCGGTGCTTACAAGAACAGGTTCTATAATGGCCTGGCCTGCTTGCTAAGAATGTGTACATGTGGTAGAATTCAGCCTGAGACTTGCCTTCTTTGTAACATGTCAACTGGAGACATAGTTCCCACTTACCTCTAATCGTCAGAGTTTCCTAGTCTTTGCCAGAAGACCCTGACAGCTTTGGATGGCTAAATTGGCTTAGGCCAGCTTGACGCAATGTACATCATGAAGGGACCCCTGCTCAGGACCACGAAGATGATGACTGACATCACGTGGGGATAGACTGCCCCCATTTCTCCAGCAGAAGCAAATCCATCCTCAGGCTTTATGCCACCTTGTTTCAACTTCATGTTGTTGTTATTAGCTGCCATTGAGTTGGCTCCTGACTCCTAAAAACTGCATGCCATTGGACTGTTGTGATCCATAGGGTTTTCAGAAGTAGATTGCCAGGCCTTTCTTCCCAGTCTGTTTTAGTCTGGAAGCTTCACTGAAACCTGTTCAACATTACAGCAACATGCAAGCCTCCACTGACAGACGGGTGGTGGCTGTGCTGCATTAGGTGTATTGGCCAGGAATCTATCTCTGGCCTCCTCTGTGGAAGGTGAAAATTCTAGCACAGAACCACCACGCCCCTTTCAACTTCAAAGTCAGCTGAATATGACTGTAGCATAGAGATACCCCAGCCTGCTGCTGGTGACCTGTGACCTGTCATCACGAGAGGGCTTCACTTCAGAGGACATGGCCAGCCATGCTTTCCGTAGTCTGTTGCACTCACAGAAAATCCCCTGACGCCCTCCCCGAGGAAGACAGGTAGCCATATGTGGGTCTGCTTTTGTCCTGTGGTTAGTCCTTGCACTGGCATATTAGCACCGTGGAATGTGGATGTTTTCTCAGTCAGGCTCCTTATTGTTCTGGATCAACAGAACATGCCTCAAAGTGTTAATGCACCGAGACAATAGGCTTTTCATAGGAAATTGCATTAAGCAGATCACTTCATGTATTATTTTGATGTGGGAAGTGCCATAGAGGAGAAAGAGAGCCCATCCTGTCTACAAGGATGAGCCTTTGTGATGCAGTGTGTGTGTAACATTGATATAATGACATGTGACATCCCAAACAAGGCTGGTCTGGGTGAGACATCAGAGAGTGAGTCTCCAGTCGGGAGAGAAGTTACATTTGAATCACAGGGCTCTGGACCCTGCCAGGATGGCTTTCCAGTATTTCTCAGTTTGGAGTCTGTAGAGAGAGTTTTGGTTAATCTCTTGTTGAGTGTGTTTTGAGTACACTCAAGGTATTTAACAAACCGATCATGAGATTCTTCTCAAAGAGCCTGCCCTTTGAAAGAAGAGACAAACTGGAGAAACTTAAACAGTTGTTGAAAATATGGGAATCTGGGATCTTAAAAGCCTGTGAGCAGCCATCTAAGATATTCCACTGGTCTCACCCTTTCGGGAGTAAGGGAGAATGAAGAAAACAAGATACAAGGAAAACATTCATCCAAAGGACTAATGGACCACAACTACCACGGCCTCCACCAGACTGAGTCTAGTACCCGGCTACCACCACTGACTGCTCTGACTGGGATCACAACAGGGGGTCCTGTACAGAGCTGGAGAAAAATGTAGAACAAAATTCTAGCTCACAAAAAAAGACCAGATTTACTGGCCTGACAGATACTGGAGAAATCTCGAGAGTATGGCTCTCTGACACCATTTTAGCTCAGTAATGAAGTCACTCCCGAGGTCCACCATTCAACCAAAGATTAGACAGCCCCATAAAACAAAATGAGACCAATGGGGCACAACAGTCCAGGGACAAGGACTAGAAGGCAGGAGGGGACAGGAAAGCTGGTAATAGGGAACCCAAGTTTGAGAGGGGACAGTGTTGACATGTCATGGGGTTGTTAACCATTGTCATAAAACAATATGTGTACTGACTGTTTAATGAAAAACTATTTGTTCTGTAAACCTTCATCTAAAGTACAATAAAAAAAAGAAAATATGGGAAAAGTAGCCACTCTGTAAAAAGACAAAAAGGAAGCGGTAAGTCTTTTAAATCGTATTTTATTTTGTGTTCGGTGAAGGGGAAGCAGTAATTTTAAGAACAATCTACGATTTTCTGACTGAGTCTGAGAGTGATTTACGTGACAAGGAAATCCTTTCCAGAGAAGAAGTTGGCCAGATATTGAGTAATAATAATAATTTTCAAGTGAATACTGTGCTGTTTTATGAGAGATAGTTATCAGTAATTCACTGTTTCTACTAAAGAAAGGATTAAGTCCTGGCCTTAATTTACGGAAAATAAACAAACAAAAAAAGCCAAACCCCTGTTTGTTGAGTCAATTCCAACTCATAGCGATCCTACAGGACAGAGTAGAACTGCCCTGTAGGTTTTCCAAGGCTGTAATCTTTACAGAAGCAGACTGTCACATCTTTCTCCCAAGGAGCGGTTGGTGGGTTTGAACTGCTGATCTTTCAGTTAGCAGCCGAGTGGTTAACCGCTGTGCCACCAGAGCTCCTTTTATTTACAGAAGAAAGGATTTGACTTAGACATTAGGAAGAATTTCCATAGTGCAAGGACCATGAGATATTAGCAGAGACATTGGTAGGGTCTTGTCTCTAAAGAAAAGGTATCTTTCAGCCTGATGTACATTTGTCGACCTGCATAGAGGTACAGGTTGGGCTAGGGACCACCCTGCCCCCATCTCATGGTCCCCGAGACCCTATCTGCCACTGGCTTTCCAGATAGGGCTTGAAGGAAGAGTGTGCTCCTAATCACTAAAAAAAACTTTTTCAAAACACACAGCTTCCCTCTCCATATTAGAGGGACTAGAGCTTGAAAAAGTTCCCCTGGTGATTTGGCTTTGTCCCCTTGATTGAAAACTGCTGCTCTCTGCTCTTGTACTTTGGCAGTCACGTCTGAGTCATGGAACCCTGCAGTCTGTACACTGTGTCCAGAGCATCTGTGCAGGGAATGTCCTCTGAGATCTGTGGTGTGAGAGAGCGCAAGCCAGAATGGGCTCTTTCTCCCATGTCGCTGGAGCAGCAGCTGGTAGATTGGAGCACTGCAGTCCACGCTTGATGAGCGTCCCCCTCCAGCTTCAACTTGTGGGAGAGGCCACTTTAGGAGGGGCCCTGTTCCGGGACCTTCCAGCTGTACCGCTTGTCTAGATCTTGTGTCTTAAACATTTCACAGAAAACACATTTCAAATACTTTCAAAAAGCTGAATATCATTTGGTTTGGGTTTTTGCCTTGGTAAAGGGCAAATTATGGGACTGATGTGGCAAGAATGTTTGTCCTGTGCAATGTTATTCCAATAAGCATTTGTTTCTCCAGTAAAGGGACTAGCTAGACTGATGATCTGAGGGGGCACATGGCCTTTATCTCCCAAGTGTGAAAAATTCACAAAAAGGCATGGGTGGTACAGCAGGGAGGGGAGTTGTGTGGTCCCAGCCATTGTGAAATCTTCCTCACATTTATCTCAGGGTTCTAGAAATCCCAGAAGTAACTGTACACTCTGAGTATGGGGTTGGTATGGGAGGGACTTTGTCTGATGTGTTCGTTTTAACCCATCAGTGGACCGGTAATCACCAGGTAATGACAGGTTAGCTCAGTTTCTTGGCTTGGCTAACCAGCCTTGCTGTAATCAGTAACCACAGACTGGCCCCCAAAACCTAGTGGCCATCGGAGAGACGTGTTCCCAGAATCAGCCACATCCATCACCATGGCTGGTGGTATAGGATGAATCTCAATAATTATAATAGTAACTATGTTTCTTGAGCATGCTAGGTATTCTCCTGGCCTACATCCCTTGTCTGTGATCTATAATACTCAAGATAAGTATTATTATGCTTATTTACCAAGGGTAAACAGAGGTTGAATAGTGAGGTAACTTGCCCAAGGTCACATAGCTACCAAACCAGTTACAGTTGAGTTGACCCAACTCTTGGCAACCCCATGTATGTCAGAGTAGAACTGTGCTCCATAGAATTTTCAAGGGCCGATATTTTTGGAAGTAGATCACCAGGCCTTTCTTCTGAGGCACCTCTGGGTGGGCTCAAACCTCCAACCTTTTGATTAGCAGCTAAGCGTGTTAATCATTTGCACCACCCAGGAACTCCCACATAGCTACAGAGATTCCCATAAGATGGTGGAAGTACACGTCACTAGTGAAACTGGCCACAATGACAGAGAGGCAAGCTGGGATAGGCAGTGCTGGCCATTTGCTTTATATAAAATGATTATGTAAAGATAATAACCACTAGAGGAAGGGGGAGAAAAAAGATCACACAGCTAGTAACTGAAGGACGCAGGATTAGAACCTAGGTATGTACAACTCCAAATCTATGTTTTTTGTTCTACATTATCCTATGGTTGATGGCTATAGTATTGTCATATGAAAGGATATCACCCTACTAGATCGTTTACAGTAGTTTGAGTTAATGGCTTTCCTTTTAGTCCAGTGAGCTCTAGGCAGCAGTAAAAATGACACGATTTTGTTTTAAATTGTTCAACTTTTCTTTGTAACTGTAATTGGAGAAAGGTAATATTTTCTAACAATAAAGCAAAAGCAAACCCAACCAGTTGCTGTTGAGTTGATTCTGACTCATGGTGACCCCATGTATGCAGAGAACTGCTCCATAGGGTTTTCAAGGCTGTGGCCTTTCAGAAGTAGATTGCCAGACCTTTCTTTTGAGACACCTCTAGGTGGATTTGAACTGCCAACATTTCCATTAGTAGCTGAGCACTTAACCATTTGTGCCACCAAGGGATTCCTTTTCTAACAATGTTGTTGTTAGTTGCCATGGTGATTCCGACTCATGGTGACCATATAGGACAGAGTAGAACTGCCCAACAGGGTTTCCAAGGCTGTAATCTTTATGGAAACAGACTGCCATGTCTTTCTCCCGTGGAGCAGCTGGTGGGTTTGAACTGCTGACCTTTTAGTTGGCAGCCAAGCGCTTAACCACTGTACAACTAGGGCTCCTAAATAAAAATAAACCTGTTGCCATCGAGTCAATTCTGACTCATAGTGACCCTATAGGACTGAGTAGGACTGCCCCATAGGGTTTTCAAGGAACAGCTGGTGGATTCAAACTGCCGATCTTTTGGTTAGCAGCCGAGCTCTTAACCACTGCAACACCAGGGCCCCAAACCTGTTGTCATCGAGTTGATTCTGACTTATAGCAACCCTGTAGGACAGAGTAGAACTGCCCCATAGAGTTTCCAAGGAGTGGCTGTAGATTCAAACTGCTGACCTTTTGGTTAGCAGCCAAGTTCTTAACCACTGTGCCACCAGGGCTCCAAATAATAATACCAAAAACCAAAACCCGTTGCCGTCGAGTCGATTCCAACTCATAGAGACCCTATAGAACAGAGTGGAACTGCTCTGTAGGGTTTCCAAGGAGCCCCTGGTGGATTTGAACTGCCCACCTTTTGGTTAGCAGTTGTAGCTCTTAACCACTATGCTACCGGGGTTTCCCCAAATAATAATAGCCATATTTAAATATGCTCTCTAGTTTAGGAACCTTATTCAAAGTCCAGACACTTGTCTCTCCATCCTTCTAACATGTATTTGCTGATCTGATGTTCGTGACTGTTGTTGTGGGTCCCAGGCTCAGCACCTAACTTGGGAGACATAGAGGGGGGTAGCAGAGCACACGCTTACTTAGGAAAAGGGCCTTGGGAGCTTTCAACAAAGTTATGCACAGAAAAAAAAAAAAATCTTATTTAACACTACTTTTGGAATATAGGAAATTTTCTTTTTAAAACTGATCTGTTCTCAGAGATAATCTGCTTTCCATTTTATTATATTCAGTGAAGTTTGAAGAGGTTTAAAAAAGTGTGCATTTTTTTTTAACTTGCTGCAGATATCGATGAATGTTCTGAGCAGCCCTCGGTGTGTGGGAGCCATGCCATCTGCAATAATCACCCCGGAACCTTCCGCTGTGAGTGTATGGAGGGCTATCGGTTTTCCGACGAGGGAACGTGTGTGGGTAAGTTGTCTAGATAACTTTTCAAAAGATTGATTCATATGGTGTATATTACTTCCTGTTTAAATAGTACTGTCCCAGGTGATTCGCCAGACTGAGATGAAGGTGCCAGTTCCGCAGTTTGGGAGGGCTGTTTACACGCAGGAATCAGACTTAATTTCTGTCCTCCAGTACATGGAGAATCAGAGGTAAAGGAACAAGTTAGCGTTGCTACCTACATTAAGAATACCGTCACCTCACCTTTCATTTTAAGAGGCTTGCAAGCATTTGCATTCATTTGCTTCTTACAAAACTCTTTTTAATTATTTTCATTTTACCTTTAATAGCTATTAAAACAATAAGGCTTGTTTCTGCTTATAATCAGTGGCCTTGGGATTCATACTGAGAGGACTACAGCAAGCCTTCTTCCTTTTTCTTGTTCACATTGTTTTATATGTTTGATTTTCTTTTTTAAACCTTCAATGTTGCAGCTAGAATTCTTTCTAGCACAGTCTTTATACAATTAATACTCGGTAGGTGGAATTTTATTAATGGTAATAACTTAAAGCAAAACATTGTATTTGACCCATCTCCATGTGTTCTCTCTGGAACGCACCCAGCATTTATTGTGATAGACACTTGCATCATTAACCTGTCTTCCATTGAATTCTACCTCGTTTACATCTAAAACTGCATTTGGAGGCATTCTATTTATGGACTTTATTTTTACAAGCCACAGGGAGTAACATGACTTCTTAGCCTTATTGAAGTAAGTTGATGCTGTTAAGTAGGTTAATTATGCTTTTGGTTGATGATGATGGTGATGGCGGTGACGGTGGTGGTGGTGGGCCAACCACAAGAGCCAGATAGTTTAAGTTTTTCTTTTTCATCCTACTGCCGCACGTTGATCTGTTGGCTCCAAGAATTTTAAGTTCAAAGATTCTTGGAGATTTCCAGGTCTGGAGGGCAGTGTGTGGAATGGGAGATCTGAACTCAGCGTTTCTTCCTAATTTAAAACAGATTCCTCTCTTACGATATCCGTGAGCCATCTCTTTGTCCCTTCCTCACTGTTTACCCATGTTTTCTGTTTGCTCTGTCTTGAAGCTCAAGTGAAGCCACTGAGGTCCCGGGTTGAGGTGGTTTCTGGAGGGCGGGAGGGAACAGGCAGTTCTCAGATTTTGAGTGTGACCCAAACATCTGCAAGCTGAGGGAGGCCAGCTGCGTTTTCACAGAGTTGAGATTTCAGATTTCAGTAGAGAACATCTACTTGTGTGTGTTCAACCTGACTTCCTTCTCTGCCTTTTGAGGGGAGGAGATTCAAACGTAGACTTCCCATGGCAGTGCTCCACTGTCATTACATTTTGGTTCAACCTTGGGTGGTGGGTGCTGTGCCCCTTGGGTGGTGAGGTGTAGTCACTGAGACTCATCCTGGGTCAGGTGTGTGAGGTGGGCTGTCCTCAGAATGGGTTGCTGGCCTGGGTTTCTGGATCTGACTCTATTCCTGACTTCCATACTCACTGGAGGGTCAGAGCCTTGTGCAAGACAGGTGGTGTGAAAAAGTCCACTCCCAGACATTTGATTAGGGGAAGACACTTAACTTCTCAGGGCCTCAGTTCTTCATCTGGAAAATGGGGTGATTGGGCTGGGTCATTGATTTTCCAGCTGTGTCCCATGGAACCCTTGGATGTGCCTCCAAGGGCTGCAAAGGAAAACACAGGGCAGCCAGTGGGCAGGCTCTTGTCCTTTAGCCCCTACCTCCAGCCTTTCATTTTCCTCTATATCAAATTCTGAGTAAGATTTTGAAAAAAATAGGTTCCGTTGCTCAGAAACAAATGTGGAAACTACTGGATGATCATTAAGCTCCTGTCAGCTCTAGCATCGTTCAGTTTCCTGATCCTCCTGCTGCCTGTTGACCCCATGCCATTCCATCCCACTCAGCTCTTCACCCTTTAATAGGCTGTTTTCAGACATACTGTGCAGAGATGGCTAACTGTAAAACCAAGTCTGCCTAAAACTCTGGCTCTGCCACTGGTCGGTCTCACCTCTCCTGGAATTCCTTGTTAAGATAGTATCCTAGGTTGGAAGCCTGGACTAGGAAGGTTTCCCTCTGAGTCAGAGAAAGGAAGAATGAGGAAAGAATCCCAGCAGTTTAGGAGGCAGGCTTTGTCCCCGGCTAACTGCTAGGGACCCCGCTTGAGCCCTCGTGGGCTGGGAGCTCATGCTGGGCATGTGGGTTTGCCAGGGGTAATTATCTGTCCACCTGGATTGTTATTCCGTTACCAGAGGAGGCTTCCATATTTGATATTTTCTATAAACTTGTGGCTTTCTCTTTTTCACTGGAAGCAAACTTTTACAGTTAATTGAAACATGCAAAATATGTTTATATGAAAGAAAGATGGGCCTCAGCTTGCCTAGAAGTCACCTTTGTGTGAAGACATAGGTGGCCCCTCTGAGTGGACACAGCCTTGTGATAATTGGCTTGGCTTATGGAGTGTTGGGAAAGCGTAGCTCCCACTGACCCCTCACAACACTACACATCAGCCATACCATTGGAGCTGGAATAGGGCCAGCCTTAAGCAAAACGCTGACATGAAGAAAGCCTCACCCAGTGCTCATGTTCTCCTCCCTTGCCAGTCATATTGTTAGACTTAGTTAGAGGTCTGCACCCTACCCTTTTAGTCCCTAAGTTAACACGCTCAGCTACTAACCAAAAGGTTGGGGGTTCAAGTCCACCCAGAGGCACCTTGGAAGAAAGGCCCGGTGATCTACTTCTGAAAAGTCAGCCCTTGAAAACCCTATGGAACACAGTTCTACTGTGACACACAACGGGTTGCCATGAGTTGCAGTCAACTCAACAGCAACTATAGTTGGTACCCTGCCCTTTCTTCATCCTTATTGGTGACGTCTTTCCCTTGGTTTGCCCGTCTTCCTCTTGCATCTCCGTCCTTCTCCCATGTTGCCTTATTCTGCTATTCCCATCCCACTGTTCGACCTGCCTCCACATGGATCTCTCCAACCACTGTGATTGCGCTGGGTCTGATTGCCCTGGGGCAGGGCACATTCTTTTTCTAGAATTCTCTTCAGAAATGAAGGGAGTAGAAAAGTTAAACCCCAACTTACAGTCTTTTTATTTCTAATTCCGAAGCCAATTTTCTCTCCTTTCTAAGCCTCCATTCCAGCTGTGCAGCTTTCATTGGTTGAATGGGCGTGGTCAGAAGTTGTGCCTCACTGCTTAGCATGCTGGAAGTCATTCCTGTTTGACAGAGGAAGAACATGAGGCTCTGGGAAGTTTTATGGTTTACCCAAGGCCATGTGATTGACACAGTGTACCTGGTGTAGACCCGGGGCTGCCGCAAAGTCCCGCTCTCTTTCCACCACACCCTCTCACTGCCATGGAGAAGTTATCTTTCTTCTTCCTTGGTGGGAAGTGGGTGACTTTGGCTTAGGCATTCATAGTGAATATTCTGCCTGCACAGAGTGGAAAAGGCTAGGAGACGCCATAATAAAGGCTCAATTACTTTAAACTCTGTACTAATAGTTGCCATAGGACATGTGTACATCTGCACATGTTCCAAATCCACATTCAGAGTGAGGGGAAGTTGGATTCTTGGGACCTGTTATGGGGCCAGGTATGGAGAGTGGCCTGAGACAGAGCCCGGGGGTCTGAGGTTGGAAGCTAGGCTGAAAGGCCAACCACGGTGTTGGTCTACAAAGAATAGCAAGAGGCAGAATCCAGGTGGGAGGACACGGGATGAAAGCCATTGGGTCAGACCAGTGGTGAGCAGGGGTGAAGCCTGGGGGTCTGGGGGCTGGGCAATGTCCCTCTTTAGAGGGCCTGGTGGACTAAACCATTGGTATGGCAGGAGCTTGCTGGGTCTGCTCATGGGACTTTCTCTCATACTACATTGTGTGTGGACCTTTTGTTCTAAAGCTGTTGTAGACCAGCGCCCCATCAACTACTGTACAAGTAGCCTCCACGACTGTGACATACCCCAGCGGGCCCAGTGCATCTACACTGGAGGCTCCTCCTACAGCTGCTCCTGTTTGCCAGGCTTCTCCGGGGATGGCCGGGCCTGTCAAGGTGGGTACTCACGCTGATTCTCCCTGTACCAAAAAAAGACCTGAAAAGTCCCCCATGTGCTAACTCTCATATGTTCCTTACCCGCTCGCTCCCACATAATCCTCACTCTATTGGGTGAATGGGCTGCGTCCTATATCTCTCTTAGTTTGAACTATGCATTTTCTTTTGGAGGCTGTTCTCATTGGTGAAGGCACTTGGCCTCCCCTACTGCTTTGCTGTATGTGACTTTTTCAGGCAGCAGTTAGACAACCTGCTCTCTGCTAGGATCTGAGGATATTGTTTGTCTTTCATAAAAAGACAAACAGTCCTTGCATGCACATTGCTTGAAGTCCAGCCTTTTATTTAATAAGATATATGGTGGTGCAGTGGTTAAGAGCTACGGCTGCTAACCAAAAGGTCAGCAGTTCAAATCTACCAGCCGCTCCTTGGAAACCCTACGGGGCTGTTCTACTCAGTTCTGTAGGGTCGCTGTGAGTTGGAATCAACTCGATGGCAACGGGTTATTATATATATAGTCATTCAACTGGACTGTTCTAACCTGGTGTTCCGAAAAAGCAAAATTCCGTTATTGAATAAATGACTGCAGAGAAGCTTTCAGACCTGAGATCAGCTCAGTGTTGGCTATTGGGCAGCTCTAAAAGCAAATTTTAATTTTAGGTAAGATAACCTGTGAACACAGTACCCCAGGCCTCTTTGATTTGCAGAATTACTTAACATTATACAATCGAGTGGGGGCAGTAGTTTAGTAATAGAATTCTCGACTTCCCTGCTAGAGACCCAGGTTCGATTCCCAATCAGTACACCTCATGCACAGTCACCATCTGTCTGTCATTGGAGGCTTGCGTGTGGCTATAATGTTGAACAGGTTTCAGTGGAGCTTCCAGACTAAGATGAACTAGGAGGAAAGGCCTGACGATCTACTTCTGAAAATCAGCCAGTGAAGACCCTGTGAATCACAACAGTCTGATCCCTAACCAATCATGGGGATGGCACAGGGCCAGGCAATGTTTCAATCTGTTGTACCCGGGGTCACCATGAGTTGGGAGCCAACTCCACGGCAGATAATGACAACAATAGCAATACAATGAAGTACTTATGAAAAGCATAAACTTTTCCAAGATGATAATTTCTGAGGTACTTTCTCTTTGTTGCTGAACTTGTGAATTTTCTGTCATCTGAAGTTTTTCCATCATGCACAGGCACCACAGGATGAAACATTTTTGAAGCTCTCATTTATGACGGGGGGACCATTTTATGATTCAAAAGAATCCTCTCTTCCTTTTGCAAATTTTATTTTTCATGAAAAAATAATCATTAAAGTGTAGCTCATTTGTAAGCTGAATAGCTAGAAATTGGGCCTTAGTGTCTTGGTAATTGATGTTTCACACTCATTGCCATTGAGTCAATTGCAACTCTTAGCGACCCTATAGGACAGAGTAGAACTGCCCCATAGGATTTCAAAGGAGCAGCTGCTTAGCAGCCAACCTTTTGGTTAGCAGCCGTAGCTCTTAACCACTGCACCACCAGGGCTCCAACTGATGTTTAGTGATTCTAAATCACCGTTCCCAGATCAGAAACAGGTTCCCAGAGAGTTGAGCAAGTGACTTAAAGCATTCTGTAAACTGTGAATTCCAGAAGAAACCTCACTGTCCCTGGGCCTGGTTGCTGTTTTGCAGATGTGGATGAGTGCCAGCCGAGCAGATGTCACCCTGACGCTTTCTGTTACAACACTCCAGGCTCCTTCACATGCCAGTGCAAGCCTGGTTACCAGGGAGATGGCTTCCGTTGCGTGCCTGGGGGTAAGGTCAGGGGAGACTTGGAGTTGGTACCCCATTGCCATGTCCGTGAGTACTGAGTACATGGCCCTGGGAAAGGATATGAGGTGGAGACGTGGGAGCTCCGTGGAAGGTTCTAAGAGTTGTTGAGACAGGCGATCCAAACACAGGCTGCAGCACAGTGCCACGCAGGCTGTGCACCGCACAACTCCAGGGGGAGCCCTTCGCATGGACATCACTGTGCCGGCAGCCTGGCATTTGGTCATCCCGGAGGGGCTATGATTTGAGCAACAAGTTCTGGGTAAAGCACTGGCTCCTGAGAGTTATGGAGAATACAGCTGGGTTTGGTGTGGAGGTGAAGGGCCACTAGTGACCGAGGACCCCATAGAATTCTCTGTATTACCTGTTATACCTGACCTGATTTATGCAACTTGTAAAGTTATCCACTGATCGGAGACTTGAGTGATAGCTCTTAGACCATAAGGATAATGATAGCTCTTAGGCAGTCTCTGGAATGAGTTCAGATACATGGGAGGCACTCAACAAATGCTGTTGAATGAATGGGTATAAACGGCTACCATTTGTGCAGAAGCTGCAATGTGCTAGGGGCCTTACACACACTATTTCATGTAATGCTCATCATAGTCTTTTTAAGGTAAGTGCTGTTACTCTCTCCATTTACACAGGAGGATGCTGAAACCTAAAAAGATAAAAGTCTGGTCAAGATCCCACAGGTGGTAAATGCTAGAACGAAGATTTAGGCCTAGGTCTGTTCAATGGACTCCAAATCTGTATTCTGTCATCTAAACTGCACAGTATCCTGACACGACATTAAGAATATATTGACACCTCAGGCTGGAGTTAGCCAATAGAGTCATTTAGTTTTGATCACAGCTCCTGTTGTTGGCCAGATATATTCATGCCTCTATAAATGTTATCAATAAGATATATGGAAATTTTCATTTCACCACTTTTTCTATACATTTAATAACTGTTAAGTATCTGTCCCCTTCAGTAACCTGAGTGCCTTGAGGACTGGGTGCATATGCATTTTATTTTTATATCCTCAATACCCAGAAGAGCATGGGGTTCACAGCTACTTATAGCTGTTGAAGAAATAAATGAATGAAGCAATTTCCACTCCTACCAGCAGTATATGGAAGTATTTATCTACATTCTCACTAGGACTGGGTATAACAAGTTTTTAGCATAGTTACTGATCTAAAAGGAGAAAAATAACCAGATCGAAGTTTGACTTTTGAGGTAAAATATTACATGCTGCTGGTCTAAATTTATTTTCTTCAGCTTAGATCAGGGGTCAGCAAACTGCAGACTGCAGGCCAAGTCTGGCTCAGCACCTGTTTTTGTTAAGTTTTATTGGAACACAGCCATGCTTATTCATAGGCATACAAAGCTTGAAATGTTTACTATCTGGCCCTTTGCAGAAAAAGATTGCCAACCCCTGAGTTAGATGAACCCAGGCAGGCCCACCTTTTGTTCCTGAAAATATGGGTAAAAACTGGCTCTGCCCATAGGTTCTGGGAGGCAGGTTATATAGAGAAGAGCTAATGATAATTCAAGTCAAAACATTCCAGCAGCCATTAAAAATGACTGAAGTTCATTATTTCCCTTGGCTTGTTTCACATCTCCAGTTCAAAAAGAAGCATGTTTCATTTTTTGATTTTTCATGTGTTTAACCTGACTGCTTGCCTCCTCTTTATGGCTCTGTTTACTAAACAGAAACAGTCCAGACTGTAGGCTAGCATATAAAGACGGGACAGAGATAAAACGAATCATAGCTATTTGCCAAGGTTGTTTATGCATTTAATTCTGTTCTCTTAAGAAATTCCAATCTAGTTGTATGCCCAGGAGAGAATGTGCGCTAGAAATGTATAACAATGTTCATTGAGTATTGTTTGTAATAGAAAAAATCTAAATGGCCTTCCATAGGAGGAATGGACAAATGGCTGTAGGTCCATTCATACAGTGAAATAATGTACAGCAGTTAAAATGAATGAGCTAGAGTTAATGGATAAATCTCAAAAACACAGTGTTGAGCAAAAACAAAAAAAAAATTTACAAAAGGATATATGCAGGATGATGCCATTTATGTAAAATTTAAACCTGTATGAGGATGGGTATATAGGTAAGATTATTCTTATACATATGTATGTACAGGAGCCCTGGTGGCACAGTGGTTAAGAGCTTGGCTGCTAACTAGAAAGTTGACAGTTCAAATCCACCATCCAGTCCTTGGAAACCCTATGGGGCAGTTCTACTCCGGCCTATAGGGTTGCTGTGGGTCAGAATTGACTCTACAGCAATGGGTTTTGGTTTTTATGTATAATCTATATGGAAGAAAGCTATAAAACACGTGCATGGGGATAAGAAACAAAAATTCTAGAATAAAGATCACTTCTATAGTGGGAGAGAGGGGGCTGGGGTTGGGGAGTGTTACACACGGGGCTTGTATTTCTAATGTTCTACTTTTTAGCTGCAATCTGAATATAGAGGTTTTATCGTATTTTTCTAATTTGCCTGACTAAAGTATTTTATTAAACATTACAGAGAGAAAAATAATTTGTAATGTCATCAGCAATCCTATTTCCAACCATAGTGAAGCACAGGGTCAAACAGTAAGCACTATTTGGTATCTACTGCGTACAGAGGGAAAGAGTTTAAAAAAACAAAACTAGACTTTCTTTGAAGGTGAGTCAGTTAAGGTCATGGCAGCTGTAGCATCAACCGGTGATGGGTGAAGCAGAAGAAATGATGCTTTTCCCCCTCTCTCCTCTGCACTCCTCCCCACAACCCACATATGGATTGTGAAACCAGTTTACTGGATCACGGTTATCATTTTCTTTCAAATGGAATGGAACGAGATAGGAAACAATAGCCAAGAAAATATCAGAGTACATCATATGTGGTAAGAATAAGTACTGTTTCATGAAGGAATACTTGCATATGAGCCTATATGTGTGCATGGAGAGGTGCATGTGCACGTATGTGTTCTGGGTTTCCAAGTAAATGCATTTCTTTCTGTGGGTCATAGTCAGTAAGTTTGAAAGCCACTGTATTAGTTATCTATTGTTGCCTAATAGATTATCCCAGAATTTAGCAACTCCTCTCACAGTTTCTGTGGTCAGGAATTCAGGAGTGGCTTAGCTGTCAGGATGTCGTCCATGGCTATGATCTTCTCTAAAGTTCACTGGGGCTGAAGGATTTACATGGATCTCAGCAGGCCCCAGTTTCTCACAGATATTGGACTGAGGACCTCAGTTTCTTGCAACATGGGTCTCTCCACAGGGCTGCCTAAGTGTCTTCAAGATGAAAGCCACAGTCTTTTATAACCTAATTTTGGAAGTGACATACTGTCACTTCACCTGGATACTATTAGTCACAGATCAACCCTCTTACAGTGCTAGAAGGAACTACAGCAGTGTGTGAATACCAGTTGGTGGGAATCATTGGTGGCCATCTTGGAGGCTGGTTACCATAGCCACTCTTCTTGCCTGGACAACTTCTGAGGGAGTGTAATTGGCTAGATTTTTGTACCTTAGGATATTAGACGATCAAAGAGGGGTATTAAAAGTCCTGAGCTAGAGATGTGAAGCCTTGTCCTCAAGGGCAAATACCAAGCCGGCGAATGTTTGATCACTTCTCTTTATACTTTGGCACGAGTTACACTTACCAGCACACAGTATCTAGTTCGGCACTATGTACTTTCACAGAAAGATAATTAAAGAGTTCAGAAAGTAGGGCTGCAAAGAGAGATGAAAACATTTAGGTTAATATTACTTAAAGGAAAGAAAACTAAAGACCAGTTTAATGTGTTACACTTTTTGTTATGCTTCTGTTGTGTTTTATTTCGAGCACACCCAATGTGAGAAAACTTGAATTTTCCACTGAGATCTGAAAGGGGTCTAGAAATTCTCTAAGTTATCTGCTTTGTTTATAAGTAAGGAAGACGAAACCTGAATAATTTCTTAGTTTACAAAAAGGTTTCTTAAACTCTATATAAAAGAATTTTCCATAGCAGTCTTTCCTCAAAATTGAATAATATATAGACCCTTTTAAAAAGAAGGAAACCCTGGTGGCATAGTGGTTAAGAGCTACAGCTGCTAACAAAAAAGTCAGCAGTTCAAATACCACCAGGTGTTCCTTGGAAACCCTATGGGGCAGTTCTACTCTGTCCTATAGGGTCGCTATGAGTCAGAGTCGACTCTATGGCAACAGGTTTGTTTTTTTTTTTTAAAAAAAGAAAAGGTTTTAAGGCCTCCAGAGTTGGCTTAGATTATTTTCTTCATTGTAGATAAAGCTAGTTGTCAACTTCTTATATAACTATGAAATCAAAACAAATTTATAAATTAAATACAAAGTTACAAATTATAAGATTTCAGTCAACATTAACGTGTTTATCTGAGATGGAATTGCCATTCCTGTAGTTGTCTCCTCTATCCTGCGTATTTACCCTTTCCATCTCTAATGGGAATTCTTGATGTGGCAAGATGCGCTAGGCTCATAGTGCATATTTCCTGCCTCAGAACTGGAACCAGCCATTTCTCCAAGAAGCCCTGGTTTCTTTTGTGGGAAGTGGTATTGCAGGACCACCGTCTAAGTGCTAGGGATGCTCAGACAGAACTAGGACTGCCTTATGAGTTTATATTCATATTTCCCATTCAAATACAGGAGTTTCCTTTAACCTCTTCTAGATTACATCCCTATTTCCTTTCTTCACACCCAAAATCCAGGTTCTCAGAGGCACAGGGAATGATAAGAATGATAATATACCATGAATACTCATTTATCCCACATTACACAGACAACAGTCTCAGAATGACAATACTCATACTGCCACCACCAATGTAGTTTCTGAGAACAGTTTAAAAACGTTTGCATATGCTGTCCACGCCCTCCCCACTCTGACACACATGGGGTCACCATGAGTCGGAGTTGACTCTGTGACAGTTTTTTTTTATAGTTATACTCTGTCTACATTGCCTGAGCACGTAACCACGTCATCT